AGCGAAGACGAATCTTGTGTATATGTCAAAGCCAGTGGGAGTATAGTAAGCTTTCTCGTTCTATATGTCGATGACATATTACTCATAGGAAACAACATCCCGACTTTGCAGGAAGTCAAGTCCTGGCTCGGGAAGTGTTTCGCTATGAAGGACCTCGGAGAGGCTTCTTACATTTTGGGAATAAGGATAGTAAGAGAAAGAAGTAAGAGACTAATTGGACTTAGTCAGAATACTTACTTAGAGAAGGTACTAAAACGTTTTAGTATGGAAAACTCAAAGAAGGGAGAACTACCGATACAAGGAAATGCCAAGTTGAGTAAGACTCAAAGTCCGAGTACCGAAGCTGAGATAGCAGAAATGAGCCGAGTACCATACGCTTCCGCAGTTGGCTCAATCATGTACGCTATGACTTGTACTCGCCCTGATGTAGCCTTCGCTTTGAGCATGGTTAGCAGATATCAAGGGAATCCTGGCAAAGCACATTGGATTGCGGTGAAAAACATCCTTAAGTACCTTCGGAGGACGAAGGAATGGTTCTTAGTCCTCGGAGGGAGTGATGACTTGAAGGTGCAAGGGTATAGTGACGCCAGCTTTCAGACCGACAGGGACAACTACCGTTCGCAGTCGGGCTGGGTCTTTACCCTAAATGGAGGAGCAGTGACATGGAAGAGTTCCAAGCAGGAAACCGTAGCTGATTCAACGTGCGAATCAGAGTACATTGCAGCGAGCGAAGCGTCGAAGGAGGCAATATGGCTAAAGAACTTCATTGGTGATCTTGGAGTTGTGCCGGCCATAAAGGAGCCCATGAGATTTTCTGTGATAACGAAGGTGCGGTTGCCTTGACCAAGGAACCGAGGGATCATGGTAGATCTCGACATATCGACAGAAAATATCACTTCATTAGACATCGTGTAGAAGAAGGACAACTCGTAGTGAAGAGGATATCATCAGAAGATAACCCAGCAGATCCGCTTACGAAGGGACTGAGTAGGGTTAAGCACTTGCAGCATGCTAGGAGTATTGGGCTGAAGGATGATATTAGTATAGATTAGATAGTATTAGAAACGTATAATAGATAAATGTAATTAACATTTGATGATTAAATAAAGGAGTTTTATTTATAAGTAAAGTTACTGTCATATGTTAATTGTTTAACTATTGTTTCACTTTGCATGTTTTGACTTCCAGAATAATTAAGTTATTAAGAATAATAGAATTTTCAAATGGTCCACAATCGTTCATATGTTGGGAGTAGATATGAATGAAGATTGTCATGAATTGGTGTGTAGAATGTCTAAATGGTGTTAGACATAGCAAGGGTTGCTGCAACGTTCATGAGTGCTTATGAACTGGTTTTGAGCATTGGAATAAACCCGCGCTTGCTGGAATCACCTTATGGAATACGATATAAAAGGTGATCGCAAGACGATAATATCATATAGTCTTAAAACCTAGATATATGATTTATTATTTGTTAATTGATTGTACATTGATAATGCGAAAACGCATCAGTAACTTGGTGTTATAAAACGCATTGTTGTGTATAGTTGGTTAATGAATAAGTAAATGCATATAAGTCGAAGTTTATCTGTAACTTTTATCCTAAGAGGTAAAAGCGATATCTTGGCCGCTCGATGATTTGATTTGACTTATGTGCTGGGACCGGTTAGAACTGAATTGATGTGTTTGATTAAGTTCTATGTCGAATAAATCAGAGATCGAGAAACCTAAATGCTTGACTAACCATTCCATAGGATTGTCAGCATGATATCTAACAGAGGACTGTACGATCCCTTATCTAAAGGACAAGATTGATTAGATCAGAGTTGACAGCGTCTTTGAGAGCTACGATTGCAAACCGAATTGTACTTGTATAGTTACTAGACTTATCCAAGTGGGAGACTGTTGGAATAGTGTCTAAGGCTGCAACTATATTAGGCAAGTATTTGATCCGGTTGTGCATGGTCCTTTTGGGTTGCCTTCACCATAGCAACTTGATGGATGATTTGTTAAAAGAGAGTAAATATTATAAGGAATAATATATGGTTATTTGATTAATATAAGTCATAAATTAATTGGAATTAATTTGGTGACTTAAAGAGATTAATTAAATAAGAGGGTATAAACTGTCAATTGTTTGATAGTTACACTTTAGACTATAAATCCTTATCCTAGATAGGATGGACGATTTCTAGGGCTTGGATAAGCCAAAATCGTCCATAGGGTTATCAAGGAAAGGATATGGATCAACTTAAAGTCTAAGTTATCCAATTAGGGTTAAAGCTGTAATCCTTAAGGAGTCTACAAGTATAAATAGACCCTAGGGGTGAGGGAATTCGACACACCATCTAAAGTAGAGATACTCTGGCCGAATTCCTCCCCTCTCCTCTCTCCTAAATCATCTTGCTTGCTATTGGTGTTTGTAAGCCATTAGAGGAGTGACATTTGTGACTCTAGAAGCTCCAAGACAACAAGATCAACAAGGAATCCAAAGGTATGATTCTAGATCTATTTCAATGTTGTTATTTAACCTAATTAGCCATTAGAAGTCTTGGATTCAAAGCATGTTTAATTAGAAAGCCTAGATCCAAGCATTAGGGTTTTGCATGCGCACATAGGAAAGTTCTTATGGCTAAAACCCATCAACAACCACTGGCCATTCACGTTCCTTCTTCCTTGCTCCATATTTTTTTACCTTCGTCAGATTTATCTTCTTCTCCCCCACCGTTATCTTCTTCGTGCTCCATATAATAAAATCGGCGACCAAAGAATCAGGCTCGCTTCTTATTTTGCTTTTCTGTCTCCCACAAAAACCCTAGTTTCTATCACCGCTTCTTGTCCCTCACAAAATCTTTCATAGAACCGATGATTGGGGGTCAGCAACTCTTCACGTTGACAACGCCCTACTGCAACTCACAATGGGGCCCAACGGTGAAGCAATTACATAACATGGTTGACTGCTCTGGCGTATTTACTTTCGTATTCATCTTCTTCCTCTCTATCTTCCCGTAAATACAAAATTAATCCCACTGTTGGATTAGTGAATTAGGGGTTAGGGTTTGGAGTGATTTGGGGAGAAGATGGTTTGCTCTAATGACCAAAAACTTCCCGGAATTGGGATTGATAAAAGAAGATTGTGTGGAAGGAAGTTAGATTGACTACGTAATTTACTGGGCCTTCTTCAACAACACAACCGAAGACACAGTGAAGGTAAATTTTACGGGTTGCAGCTACTATTCCCCTCCATTTCTCTCTTCCTCTCTCATCTCTCGTCTCTCTCTCGCTCTAATAAACTCCCATGTTTATTACTTTTGAATGCTCTCTCTCTCTCTCTCTCTCTCTCTCTCTCTCTCTCTCTTTCTCTTATAATTTTTAGATCGAGGTGCTCTCTTGTTATCGATGTTTCTGGTTGTAGTCCTTCGCATACATGATCCTGAAAAGTTTCTCAAGTCAGTAGGAAGAATTTGTGAACGTAAATTGATTTTTGTTTTCTGAAAACGATTTGTGAACTTAAATTGTATTTGAATTGATCCAGTTCATTGTTTTCTATCTTTTAGCAAATTCTTATCATTTTTGAAGATAATTTTATGTTTGTTTGCTTGTAAATTGCTCTCGTAGGTCAATATATTAAGGAAAAGGCATTGATCGAATCAACAAAGGTAGATCGTTGTTGGCAACTTGGCATGAGTCACAAGTATGGTGAAGTTCTATTTTTCTCTTTTTTTTGCACGTTCCAAAGTCTTTAAACCTGAAATAATTGTTGAGGACACAAAGAATCTTTTTTTAATAATAATTTGTTATGTTTTTATTGTTAAGGTTATAGACTGATAGTCTTATGTTTTATTAAATCAGGAGGATCGGGTTTGAAGAGGAAATTACCAAAGGGGGAGAGAGAAGGATCCCATTTGAAAATACAAAAATAAGTAATGAGCATGTATACCTTCCCGAAGAGGTGGGTAATCCACAAAACTTTCGCAGTGTAGATATTATGCAACTATAGGAATCACAACAAATCAACTATAGTTAATAAAGCCATTAATAATTTTTTCATGTCTGCACATATTTCTATGTTGTTGGGAGTTATAGAATTCCTCAGGTGAAGAAGTGTGTATGTGATTCAGTTGTTCAATCTAGAAGAGGTTGGGTGTTCCAACAGTCGATTTCAAAACTTCCATGGAGTTTAGCTTCACAAAATATACAGCAGGTTAGGACTAGCCTAGGCATAGGGCGATCTGAGCCATTGATATCACGGGTTGTGTTTGGCAATTTGGTGTCTTGGTGTTTCCTAGTTTACATACAATATGAGCAAATCAGGGGAACTTCTGTTGTACTTCCATTCAAGACTAATGTTGTTCATTCGATGTCTACTGCTTTGGCTATATATATATATATATATATATATATATATATATATATATATATATATATATATATATATATGTTACTGCTCAACAATAAAAACAAAGCATTAACATTGCAAAATCCTTTTTGTGTTAAATAGTAATGGATTTCAGTTTAATACAACAAATAATACAATAATTTAAAGTAACTTGTATTTGAAGTGGTGAAAATGTTGGCGATTTCTTTTTATTATTATTTTTTTCAATTCCAGATAAGCACTGAAACTAAGGGCATAAGTAAGTCTCTTTACCCAGGTGGTCTATGTTTAACTGTTTGTTTTGTAGATTATAGATTCTTTCCTGGAAACACTGATTAGTGTAAGTTAATATATTTCTAAGTCTTGTCGTTTACTGATGTGTGTTCTAAAGTGATTTGTGCTGTAAAACTTGTTTAGTTTTGTTTGTGTAAACATTGGTGTTCTTTTGATAAAACTATCTTTGGTTCCTCTTCATATGCATTTTTGTTGATGATTTTATTATATTTCTCTGACCACTGATTCAATTGTGACTATTTCGTTGTAAAAACAGAGCCTAGACATAATCTGCTGGTCTTCCATTTTGGTTTGAAACCCTAAATTTCTTCTTGATCTTTGTCTGATAATGAATACTTCAATAGCTCCTGTGCCTGTAACTACGAAGCTTGTTGATCCAGTTCATTGGTATGGTTGCTGGCTGGTATGGTTGCTGGCTGGTAAAGTTTTTATTTTTGCATATATAATTATAACCGTTTTGTCAACATCTTTCCATGCATGCATCTTGTAGATATATATAGTTATAATAATCGTTTATATATTGTTCTCATGGCAGTATTACCGTTTGTATCTATCGATGGGTGGGTCAAGAAAAATAAGAGGTGTTCAAAATCTAGAAACATTAAGACCACATCAATTACTAGAGCAAATGGTGTGTACTGCTTTCAGAGCTGCAACTGACACTCTTAAACAGACTAGATTTGGTGGGTTAAAGAACATGAAAATAAAAATCGACCAATTATACTTCACCATTGCTTCTACATTGAAGCCTTTACAAGGTATGTGTAATGTCTCATTTACAATTTTTAGACACAAGGGTAGAATCGTCATTTTTTTAATCTGACTTATTGCATTGGCAGCGAACAAGCTACCGGGTGATATGGAAATAATCCAAGATGTAAAACGGCTCTGTGTTGTATTCGAACACGTGGAGAAGCTGCTAACACTTGGCAGTGGCAGTGGGAATCAATGGAGTCACCAACAGAGGGAGATTGGAATCTGGAGTTGCAAGGACTGTGGGAAAGTGAAAGCAGGGGGTCCATACACATTGAAGTAATAATATTTAATTTTTAAAATTTCTTCTGATATTTAAATGTTTTTAATTTACTGATATATATATTTTTTGTTTGTTTGTGTATGAATGATGATAGTACTGCAAGTGCTGTTACAGTTAGGAGCACAATTTGAAGGCTGAATGCCAGGTGCAACCATTAGGTTTTTATTTAAAATATCCTTTATTATTATTATTATTATTATTATTATTATTATTATTATTATTATTATTATTATTATTATTATTAATTTAAATTTTCTCAATCCATGTGGGCTTTATTATTATGAACAAGTTTATGATAAATCTGATGTTTTTGGTGCTCTTTATTTTACTGCAGCGGGCAGATGAAATCTGAACAGGAGACCATTATGGCCAAGGCTTAACAACATATAGCTATGCAGGTACTACAGAGTTTATTATTATTATTATTATTAATTATTATTATTATTATTATTATTATTATTATTATTATTATTATTATTATTATTATTATTATTGTTATTATTTATGTACTTTCAATGCTTTGAAACTTCATGTTTTTATTTGTTCGAAAATGGCCTTACAAGTTGGAGGATTTAATCTTCCCGGATTACCTAGATTACCTGATGAGATTCCAACTAAAGTTTTGTGTTTAACTGAGGTACCTTATGTTTTTTCTTTTTTAAAAAGAAAAAATGTAAATGATATTTAAATAATATTTTTGAGAAAATGTTAGAAGTTGGTTAATGTGGAAAACCTCATTTGAGAAAATATGATATTTTTGAATAATTTTGGAACATTTTATTCACTTCAGGGTTTTTTGAGGGAAATGAGAGTAATTCTTGTCCAGATTGTGTTTGTGTTCTAATGAAATCGGGCAGGCTGAATCTCAACGGGCAGATTTGTTTGAGTATCAAAACTTTTTTGTAAGTGATTAATTAATCTTTCCTTTTTTATTTAATAAAAAACAGGTTTTGATGATGAACATGAACATATAGGTGATGAAGAAAAAGCAGACATCAGTCAGATCTTTGAAGAAGCTCATCAATTTATTGAAGTTGTTGAACAAAAAGGTGAGATCTATTTTATTTTATTTTTTATTGTTTTTATTTAATATGTTAATAGTTAATATATTATTATACAAATCTTTTTCAAAGGGTAAGAAGGTCATTTATGTTTCCATTTGTATTCCTTTCTTCTTACTCTTCCCTCTCAAGCATGTCATAGTCGTTGGTTACCCATTTAGACATTATATATGACAATGCTTATTATTGGTTAGGTGTCTGAGCTGGAATCTCAAATTGAGGTTGGATAATGATGAATTGAGCCCTGAACAAGTCAATGATGTTAAGGACTTCATTGATGACTATGTGGAACGAAATCAGATCATCATATACTTTTTTCCTTTTCACATTTTCTTAATAGTTTCTTTGAGGTTCTCTCCACTATACCACCTTGTCAAATTCAGGATAAAAGAATCTTGTGGTTTTCACTTTTCACAAAGCATCTAAAAGTAAAACCACCACAAACCATTTCATCTGCAGGAGGATTTTGATGAGTTTGAGGATGTTGATATGTTATATATACAACACCTTATCACTAGACAAAGTAGAAGCTCTAGAAGATCTTGTTATCATGCAGCCCTTGGTCATGTGTTTGTATATCATTGGTCACGTGTTTGGGTGAAGGTCTGGATGGTGGTCTGAATGGTGCATCTCTCAAAGTGTGTATTCCAATATCAAGTTAATCTACTCGTATTAATTCATGTCTCAAAGTGTGTATTCCAATATCAGGTATCATGATTTGTGTATTTACAAAATTTTGAAATAGGGTCTTGTTCAATGCTTTAGCTATGTTTGCTTTAAGGGAGATCAACTTATCAAAAGTAAGTTATTCTTTTCACCCTTTTATTTAATATTTTTGTGATTGAATGAAAGTATTAATGAAAGTAATTGACAACCCTTTTTCTGTAAATGATGTTGTGATTGTGGGAGAGGTGTTGTGTTTTTCTCTGTTGCTAGGTAACCTTTTCAACAACAACATTCTACTTAAGCAGGTGAGTAATCAAGATTAAGGAAGACTTGTAATCATGTTTGGCATTCCTTTCCAGTAAGAAACAGAGTTGTATGATTATTTTTTTAGTTTTATAGGAATGTATAACACATGTTAGCAATGTATTATTTTTGTTTAACATTTGAATGATTCTTTGTATGACATTATAATTTGTGCAATTTACTTTATTTTCTGAGTATGAAATTTTATTTTATATTATGCAATGGATTGTATTTTTTGTATATGGTATTTTATTTTTATTATAAGAAATTAAATGCAAATTTAATTTAAAAATTAATAAATATATAAATTTATTTTTTTTAAACATTTAAATTTACGATACACAAAAAAGTGTGTCATCTTCATTTATGACATGGCCTTTCTTGACAGGGGCTTTCTTGATACGCATTGCGTGTCATTAACACGCGCGTCGTAAGGTTACGACATGCGGATGCGTGTCGTCTTCCTTTATGACAAGGCCTTTCTTGATATGCATTGCGTGTCGTAAACATGCGTCGTAAATGAGCATCGTAAATGCGCGTCGTCTCTCTTTATGAAAGGGCCTTCCTTGACGCGCATTTGCGCGTCGTCTGAGCCTTTTACGACGTGCAATGAGCGTTGTAAAAGGCTGTTTTTCTAGTAGTGTCTGCTCTGTTTGTTTCAAAACTCCTTTCTCTTTTAGAAAATTTAGTTTTTTTTTTTTTTTTTTTTTTTTTTTTTTGTTGAAAATTTCTCAAATCCTCAGTTTGAGTTCAGATACGCCCAAAGGTGCATCCGAATCCCTCAAACCAAGGCTCTGATACCAACTTGTAACAATGTAATTTTTCATAACAAATTTTCATTTCTTTAAAACATAATTTCACTCAAAACAAGCCATAAAAATCCAATGTAACGTACTCATAATACAAAACATGTCAAATCCCAAGATCAACTATATCCAAATACGCCTGCGGGTGTGTGTATGAGTCATGCCGGCACCTCTCCACGGTCATCGCTAGTACCTGAAACACATAACACAACAACTGTAAGCATAAATGCTTAGTGTGTTCCCCAATATACCACTTACACACATACGCCCTTCAAGGCCATGACCTTCCGGTCCATATGTTTCTGGGGACTTCCGTCCCAACCCGGTAAACCTTCCGGTCATACCCGTGTCGACCTTCTGGTCCATAACTCCCCGACCTTCTCCCTCTCTTTCTGGTCGTCAGTGCCGGTAACTCAAGTGTTGTCCCAAACAGAGGACGCGCAAAAGTTTCTACTTTGCAGGCTGCGAAAAGCAAACTACTGCGGGGTACGAAGTGTTGCATGTGTGCTGCACCGCGCAACAATAAGAGGTTTGCAGATGTTTTTTTTACAAAAAACAAACACCACCTACGTCTCTTATATATCTCACCCAAAAAAACTCTTCACAATTCACAGTATTCGTCCCAAAAAATGCTCTCACATCGTCTTCTTCCGTATCCTTCACTATATGCAACAGGTAAATCATCAATCCCTCTAATTTCGTTCGTTAATTCCTCCACTCTTATAATCTTCCATGAACGTATATTGAATCTGAGTATTTGTTGCAGGTACGTTTACCCTAATTCATGAATTTGCTGTAGGTACATGTATCAAAATCACTAACTACAATAGAAGGATTAGATGCTATAGAAAGCATGTGTCTCTTCTTTGTAGATCTCTTACTATGCCTCTCTCTCTCTCTCTCTCTCTCTCTCTACTCCTTCAATTTGGAAGCAAGAACTATGTGGTACTCAGTTGCCTTAGATTTTGGTTTTACAATTCTCTTCTTTTTTATTTGTAATTCTTTGTCATTTCCCTTGCAGTGTTAATGGAGTAACCAATATGTATCTTTGGTTCTTTACTTACATCCTTTCCTACACTCATAACATGTAAAACACCATTCATTTACTTTTGTTGTTCATCCAAAGGAAAAAAGTAACAGAAGGAAGAACTTACCAGGGTTGTTTGTGAATGTTCTTATCTATGTATTGACATACTTCCTAACACAATCTTCCTTTGAGAAATTGAAATTTTTACGGATTTTTGATGCCCTTTTTGGATCTCTCATTCTAGGCTTTCAATAGAGGTTAATGCAAGAAGATCATTGTCACCCTTCTTCATAGTAACAAGATTCAAAGTAGAGGGATTTTGGAATTTACAACACATATTATATGTTCGAATGCGTTTTGGTTACATCACAAACAGTGAAATCTCTCTAAAAAGGTTTTTTGGTGTGATTTTGGCTAGCTATTTGTTGGTTCTGTTTTGTGCTATTTTTTGGTGCGGTCTTGTGTTCTTCCAGGAAAGGTTTGCTGGTGCGGTTTTGGCTATTTTTGGGGTGGTTTTAGAACTGCACCATTAAATAAGGGCATTTTTTGATGCGATATTTGTAGGTGTGGTTCAATAACCGCACTAATTAATCATTTTAACCGCATCAACAAATGCTTTATATACTAGTGATTTAGTGTATGCTTGTAGTTATATGAAGAAAATAACATCATTTTTCTTGTTCTTTCCTGTACAATTTCAACAAACGAAATTTGTACATGCGTCATGAGTGGTACCATGATGATTGACGGGGAGAGTGCGTTTCTCATGTGGTTCCTGTCAGCAAAGAGCATCACTTAGTTGTTATTAAATTATACTTTAAATAGGATACAATGATCTCTATGCTCTGAGATAAAGGTTCACTTTCACATATTGTTGGTACTTGACTAACGGATTAAAGAGCTAACCTTGGTGAAGGTGATGGAATTTTGATAGATACATGTCATAAATATGGATGATAATTATTTCTTATTTAAATTGAATATATTTATCTATTCAAGTAAGTGTAGACGTGAATGCATATAGATGATGCGCACAATTATTCATGGATTCTAGAGATTAATGCACATAGGCATGGGGGCACATGTCGATAACCAATGGAATAAGATACATGTAGTATTTGTGCATTAACCTAAGAGAGCCTTTGGTTTAGCCGTATCAGGAGTTGATGGATAGTTGCTCCTTAGCCAAATATTGAGGGTTCAAGTCTCGTTTGAGACGAAAGATGTACAATATGAGTAGTAAACTTCTATAATATTTAATCAATAAGAAATAGATTTTGATATATTATTAAGCGAATTAATGATGGTTAAATATTAAAAGTTATTAATTGGAAGTTAGTTATGGCCTGACCTAAATTAAGCTAATGGAAATGATGATAAATGCTTTCTATTTTTTGAAATTAACTAAATAGGTTCCTATTTATGTGTTTCATGAGTAAGGTGTTGTTTTTTTTTGTAAAAAAACATCTTCAGACCACTTATTGTTGCGTAGTGTAGCACAGACACATCACTTTCATCTCATAACTGTTTGTTTTTTGGAAGTCTTCAGAGTAAAAAAACCTTTGCTCATGTTTTGTTTCCCCTGTAGCATCCTGCTCGTCGTCGCATCCTCCTTTGTCGGCGCAACTTCCTTCCTCGACGCACCCTCCTTCCTCGTCTGGTTAATCGACTCCAGGTAAGTTTTTTTTTCTTTTATTCTTGCTGAATCGTTGGTTCTTCTTCTTTTTTCTTGTTGAAATCATGCTGAATATTGATTATATGTTGCTGAATTCTAGTTTCACTTTCTTTTTTATACGTTTTTTTTGGTTAATTCTTGCTGAAAGGTCACAAATTAATGTTGAATCTTGCTGAAAAGGTCACAAATTTATGGTGACATATCTTAAATTTTTGCTGAAGTGTGATAAATTGATGCTGAAATTTGATAAATTCTTGTTGAAATGTGATAGATTATTGCTGAAATTCATCAATTGAGGTTCTTGTTATGCTAAAATGTGAATAATCTTTCCCGAAATTCATTAGTTTAATCAATAGAAGTTGTGGTGATGCTGAAATGTGATAGATTATTTCTTAATTCAATATGTTTTTTTTTGTTATTAGGAATGGGATATAAACATACATGGACCAATGAGCAGATAAAATTCTTATTGCGCACTTGTATTGAAGAAGTAAACACCATGGGCAGAAAATGTTTAAGTTTGCACAAACATTCATGGAAAAATTTAGGAACAACCATTAAGGAAAAGTATGGCGTGGATTCGACTCAAAGACAATTGAAAAATGCCTATGATAATCTTAAAGCCAAATACACATGATGGTTATACTTGAATAACAAAACTGACAACCTTTACAATCCTCAAACAAACACTTTTAACTTAACGAATGAGGAGTGAGAGGACTTTAAAGGGGTTTATATATATACAAACATACTTATATGTATTTTGTTGATATAGTTGGAAAACATTCTTATACAACTTTTGTTACATTTATTGGGTTTAGGGACATCCGAAGGCCGCTTCCTTAAAAACCGTCCCATTGTTGTTTCCAGATCTTTTTCAAGACCTCTTTGATGAGTGCCTCTAGTAATATCTGTTATGAAACATCCCAAACACCATCGGGACATGGATCATCTTCTTGTCATGTCTCACCAATACAACTTATAGACACACCTTCTATTAACAAAGATGAAGATGATTACTTTTCCTATCATAATGGTGAGTCTTTTGTTGCTTCATCTTCTGGTAACCCCAACAAAAGGGATAAACCCTCAACTCCTAGACCATGAGCTCCTAGTGCCTCACTTGATCCACCTTCTAGTGCCTCACCTAAAGCTTCTATTACTGCTGACAATTTATCAATAGAGATGCAAAAATCTCTATGACATTTGACTCAAAGGCGTACAACTCATCAATATTTAGAGAAGTTAGAGTTGCTCGAGTTAGGCGCAAGAGACCCTCTATGATTTGTTGCTTATCATATTTTTAGAGGGACCATGAGTATAAGAGAGATATGAGTAAATTTGCCCAATAATCAACATATATTAAGAGGTTGAATCGAGATGACTGCTACAAGTTTAGGAGTTTTAAAGGATGGAAAGATTGTCCGTTAGGTTTACATATTTGTGTTGTTTAGGTTTTAATTTCATGTGTTGGAACTATGTGGTTATGTTTTTTGCTATTGTAATTTGGTTATTTGGTACTTGAATTTTAATTATGTTATTTGGTATATGAATTTTATGTTATTTGGTACTTGACTTTTATGTTATGTTATTTAGTACTTGAATTTTATGTTATGTTATTTCGTACTTGTGCTGATTAATAGGTTCCTAATTGATCACGACAAAAAGATACTTCTCATAATTCTAATGTACTTGTACGTTTGCTATTTTTGGAAGAGTGGTGTGAAACGAGTGTAGGATAACGATTCAGAAATGACGGGACATGAATTTACGTTAGAGTTACGTTACCGTAATCCTTTACAATGTGTTGAAGTACGACACATGTCCCATGAATCTTTTGTGTGACTATATGCTCATTTTAAAGTAAATTACGCGTTAAAGGATAGCAAACATGTATCGGTTGAGGAAAAGATGGCTATGTGTTTGATGATGATCGATCACAACCAACATTACATGATTATCAAGCAAAGATTTCAACACTCAAAGTAAATAATTCATATTATTTTTTTCATGAAGTGTTGGGCAAAATGTTGCTTTTTACACACGACATTATAGTACCAACTTATTTTAATCTGAATCCAAACATCCTAGGACATAATAAGAGGCTACAATAGGTTCTCAAAGGAGTAGTTGGTGCACTTGATGGGACTTTGATACACTACTAGAAAAACAGCCTTTTACGACGCTCATTGCGCGTCGTAAAAGGCTCAGACGACGCGCAAATGCGCGTCAAGGAAGGCCCTGTCATAAAGAAAGATGACGCGCTTTTGCGCGTCGTCTATAGACGACGCGCATTTACGACGCTCATTTATGACGTGCAATTACGACACGTATTTACGACACGCAATGCGTATCAAGGAAGGCCCTTTCATAAAGGAAGACAACATGCATTCGCGTGTCATAACCTTACGACGCGTGTGTTAATGACACGCAATGCGTATCAAGAAAGCCCCTATCAAGAAAGGCCATGTCATAAATGAAGATGACACACATTTTTGCGTATCATAATTTTAAATGTTTAAAAAAAATATTATTTATAGATTTAATTATTTTCAAATTAAATTTTTATTTAATGTTTCATAATAGAAAATAAAATATCATATACAAAAAATAGAATCCATTTCATAAATTTAATGTCATATAATTCTATTTCTTACAATATATAAATTTGCATCTAATCTACTATGTACATCAAGTTCCAACTAAGTAAAGTTGCATCTTGCCTTTCATAATTCTTTAAAAGTAATGTTCCAAACAGCTGATTATGTGGATATGCAATTGTACATTGGCCCATCTCACTCAATAAGGACTTAGCCAAATTCAACTCCAAGTCTTTACTGCATCTTGCTGATAATGCTGCAAGATTTAAATCAAGTGGCTTCATATTCCTCTCTTCCATCAACTTTACCTAATGCACAAAATACACAGAAACAAAAAAAAACATTGTAGAGGAAGGGGTAATTTGGGAAAATGTGAGGGGTATAATATAATAAAAATGCAAATACTTAATACCACTTTCATGCCATCATGGAAACCTGTTGTGAATTACATAAAGGCCCTACACCAACACAAGGCTTTTGTTTGATTATGATCCTCAGCTGTTAAACCAAATACAAAAAGCATGTCAGAAGAATAAAACTAGATGTAGATGAAACTTTAAAAGAGGTTGATCCATCACATTACATAAAGGCCCTCCACTACCTTAAGCAATATTTGTAGAAAAAGTACTTCTTCAAGGCTAAGGTTGCCTACATAAACGGTTGTGTACTGATAACTCTTAATTTGAGAAATTTTTCAAAGACAAGTCCATCATTTTTAGCCATTGACAATTCCTGGACAACTTTTTCAAGTCCTTTGCTAATAGCTTGCATTTCCTCTGCCAAATATTTTAATTGTACCTGAAAAATAATAAATAATCAATAAATTCTTAATTACATTTACACATGTTTTAAATTTCTAAATATTTGAATAAGATTAATTGTGATCACCACCCTTGATGCAGGTTCCAAACTGTCAAGATCCTTGGAGAAATCAAGGAGTTCAGGTAGTTTGTCAACAAGCACCAAAAATTAATTAATTATCCACAACATTATCTTGTTATTTTAAAATTTAATTATTTTCCATACAACATATTAATCAAATCTGAACCAAATAGCAGCGCCTAAAATGACACCAAATTAATCAAAGTCAAAGTCTAAGTCAAAATCAACTATAACAAAATATTATTATATTTAATAACATAAAATAAACAAATGAAAATATTGACCTCTTGTTGTTCCTTGGTTCAAAGCATTTCCAAGTGTGACAATTGTTTGCATTACTCTCCTGAACTTACAGGAACTTCTGATCTGATAAAAGTTTAATTAGATTAAATTCTTGGATTCGTGAATTGAATCATAACTATGCTACTGTTATAGCAAGAAATGGTTATCTGGGTGCTATAGTTGAAGGATGCTTCTCCAGATGGAAGGTAATTTAGAGGGTCGAAGGAATCTGCTTTTTGATTAAAAGACCAAAATACCCTCGTTATATATATATATATATACAATACATTGAACTAAAATTTTCTTTTTTAGTGGTGAGGGCAGGGGGCTTGAACCAAGGTCATCTGGACAAAATGTTGGTGGGCCTCCTAGTTATGAAGATGCTGTGAGTGACGGTCATAGCCCTGTTGATACCAAGAGGTAAATTAATTAATTAATAAGTCAAAAGATTTATTTACTTGTAAATTGTAATATATATATATATATATATATATATATATATATATATATATATATATATATATATATATATATAAAGTAATGGAATCTAGTCTAACTTGTAAGCATTTTAAGGACTGGTGAACATTAACCATCAAGAAATTCCGGTAGCAACTGCTCCACCACCACCAGCTGCCGCCACCACACCACCTCCAGTTACCACTACGCCGCCACCACCTGCAGTGACAGTCAACAATGAAAACGATGGGTTTGACTTTTTTGATCCCCGTGGTGTTGTTCCTGCTCCTGCCCTTGCGTTTGCCCTGCAAGGATCAGGTGGTGGAGAGATGGAGGATTTGTTTGGTTCTCTATCAGAGTCTTTCTCTTCTTCAAATGCTTTGGCTGTTGTAACATCTACTTCATCTATAACCACTGAAGTTCATCCTCCAGCAAATACTAATCCTTATCTCACCTTCGATACCTCATCGACAAGTCGGGTGCGTGAGTGTCTTAAAAGCTGGATTCTACACACACATATTGATAGTTTGTTTATGTTGTAAATTTACACTCTTTATGCATTGATTGCAGGCATTTGATGATCCGTTTGGTGATGGTCCTTTCAAAGCTGTTCCTTCTACTGATGGATTTTCGGCTTAACCACCAACATCACCCTTCACTACAACTGTTGCTGAACCACCATCATTTTCAGTTGACCCAATGTCAGGGTCAGGGGGATTTGGGGATACTTTTGATTTTGATTCAACTGTTGACATTTTTAGCTGATATATTGCCTCCACCTGGACCCTCGCAAATTGCTTTTCCTTCTCAAAATGGTCAAGCATCTAGTATTTCAGCAGAAGCAGCCTATGCCACAGTTAGCTTTTCCACCTCAAGGTGTCCAGCAGCAGCAACCTATGCCACAGTTAGCTTTTCAACTTCTAGGTGGACACCAATCTATGCCACAATCAGCTTCTCAACTTCCAGGTGTCCAGCAGCAGCAGTAGTTGCCACAGTCAGCTTTTCAACTTCCATGTGGCCACCAGTCAGCTTTTCAAAGTCTAAGTGTTCAGCAGTCTATGCCACAGTTAGCAGCTTTACAATTCCAAGGAGGCCAACAGTGTATGCCATAGTCAGCAGCTTTTCAACTTCCATATATGCATTAGGTCACATTTTGTGCAATGTATACGTCTTGATTCATCAGAAAAGTAATCACTAGTCTCTTGATGAGATGTACTCACAATCTTCTGATGGATGAATCCTTTGATGCCATTCAAGACTACTTTGGGTATCTAACCCTGAATCCAATCTTCTGATGGATGAATCCTAAAAACACATGCAAGGTGTTTAAAGAGATCTCTTACTCTTTACATATAGCCAGCATGAATATTAATGTAGCATATGAATTTTAAATAGCAGTACCTGCTCCACATTATTAAATTACTGGAAATGACATGGAGCATTATGAAGTGGGGCCTCACATATTGCAATTCGAAATGTGTTTATGGGATACAAAGCCTGGATAGAATCGCTTGCAATTTAGTCTGTCATTAGAATATTTTTTCAAAGTTGTAAATCTTGAGAACAGAGCTGACATAAAATCATAAACAAATATATATAGTCATCCTTCCTGCCAAAGAGTTACCTTTAAGTACATTAGACCCAAAGCAATTATAGCCCCAACTGCAGTTACATCTATATTGATCTGGGTTCCATCCATCATCTGCAAGCAACAGAAAACAAAAGCAGAAAATTAATGAAAAAATAGAAAGGGTAATCAACTTTCCAAAAAAACAAGTAAAAAGCACAACCTGCCCCGAACCACGATTGTGGTCATCCATTGATCCGTTGGAGAGATGGGATCTTTCCTGAGAAAAGGCAATTTAACAAAAAAAAAGTCATCTACATGAAATATTAATTCTAGTCATCTTTAAAGTTTAGGTGTGTGTGTGTGTGTGGAAAAGATACTTGGACTAGGGTGGATGCGATTAGCCTACCGCCTACTGTTTTGCTCAATGTAACCCCAACAAACATATGATATTAATTCTCCACTGAAATTGAAACAAGAGAAGAAAATATTTACATTAGGAAAAAGAATAATCACTGCATTATAACAATGGAGAACACAACCTTAAGCATGTATTTTGCTCGATGGAGCCTTCATTGTTAAAGGAAGTGATAATCCGCAAGGCAAGATTTTCTAAAATGTGTAGGAACTACTTGTCGACATTCTCAGGATTTCTTTTAGCTTCCTCCTCCTGAAGATAAAAGACCATGTTAATTAGATTCCTTGTCAAATGTTTGAAAGTCCTGTATATAATTCAGCCTTACGTACAGTCAGTTCCTTCTTAATCATTTTTGTTGAATCAAGAAGGCGCTCTTCATCAATAAAAGGAAACTTGCAGATACCCTACAAAAGAGATATTTTTGAAACATAAGAAAATTATATCCCTAACCTGCCAAATAATCATATCCCCTAACCTGCCAAATAAATCTTTTTCCATCTGTGTCGACATCAAAATCTGAGTATAAACAACAACATATGTATATAATCAATAGTGTTCATAATGATATTAAGCAACAAAATTTATCTATTAGACAGCTTAGAATGGGACATACCATCAACATAGAAATCAAGAATCCTTGAATCATCAGTTGTCATGAGTGACCGATATGAAGGTGGAAGTGCATGGGCACTACAAGAGCACAAATTAGATAAGATCATGAAAAAAAACCAGATCAACCAATGTAACCAAGTTTATAAAAAAGAAATTTAAGAACATACCTAGTTTCACCTAACAAAATTTAGTTTAACTATTTCTTAGTTGTGATAATCTACAGCCTGAAAAGAAGGAATGTTCACAAGAACGATCCTTAGTTACCATCTCCAACAAATTAAGAAAAAGAATAAATACAGGCTTGCCCTGTATGCATTCGAGTGCAAGGTGTGATTAGGTACCATATCACTTGGTCTTGTGTACATCAGGTAATGTTATAAGGTATGAATTAGGTAAGATTCTTCTTTTAAGCATTTCTTCGAACACTTGGAGTGCATAGCTCATCTCCTTCCTTTTCTGCAAGTTTCCAGAATCTAGGGTTTAATATTCTATTCTCAAAACATATGTTCAATATTATCAATACAAGCAGAAAGTAAAGAGACCACAAGAACATACAAAAATACCTGCTTACTTTTTTTGAAAGAGCAAAGGATCGAGAATTTTGAGGTAAGGATGATGACGATGCGCTGGCTGTGAGCATATGCGAGCAATAGAAACAGGAAAATGAAGGCTGAGAAATTAAATCTAGCTAGTGTTTGCAAACACATTTGAACCTAAAAATTGATTTCAGGGGCAATCTTGCGAGGATTTCGAGAAGGAGAGACTTAGTGAGGTTTTGAATATCGTATGAGAACGTATGAGCAAGGAGAACAAGCCCTAGAACTGATGATTCCGAAAGAGGGTTTACTTGTGTTGAATCGATTAGTGTGATTACCTGAGATTGAGAGTGTTTTCTCTTTCTTGAATAGGTGATGATCTGATAACGGTGGCTAGGAAATGAGTTCTGATCACCATCATCGTCGATGTGATTGCCGATTTGATTGATTGAATTGTTGGGTTCCATTTAACGGTGGTTTGAGGTTGGAAATGGAAATGGAAAGAGCTGTTCGAAGTGTGGATTGAGTTTTTCGGGTTCAATTTCAACTCAATTAGTAAAGATTCCAAAATGATTACACCTCCCTGTACCCCACTCAATAATCGAAACCATTGAAATTCTTGAATTTTGTATGAACTTTTCTCATGAATGATGTTCACGTCGTCGGCTCCAAAGCTCCATAATCATGCCAAGATCCAGAATCGTATACGATTGTCGTTTACAAATCTGTTGTTGAACCCTGAATAATCGACCTAGGTATTCCCACCGCTGAAGATGAAGATGAAGGACCTAGGGCTTTTTCTTGCTAAGTAGAAGAGGCGGGGGATTAATTTTTGGGATACAATAGGCGCTAGTAATTTTAGTCGATTTCATTTCCCGCCTAAAACGCGTGTTTCACTTAAAAATTATAAAGCGACACACTTACATGACGCACAATTTATGAAAGGCGCCCTCCGCATTTATTTATTTTTCTTTTCTAACACCAATTTTAGGGCGCGCACAAATGCGTGCCCTCTATCCTTCAAATTTTGCAAAACTGACAGTATTTTTTAGGGCACTTACAAATGCGCGACCTCTATCAGCGAGTGTCATTGTTTGCGCGTCATTAAAGGGCTTTTTTCTTGTAGTGATACATGTTGTTTTCCTTGCAAACAAAAGAGATTTATATAGAGGTAAGGGAAAATACGATTGTTACCAAACATATTTGCAATTTGTGACTTCCACATGATGTTTACGTTTGTTATGGCTGGGATTGAAGAGATAACACATGATTCTAGAATATTATTAGAAGCACTAGAAAATCCACATGCACCATTCATGTTTCCACAATCAGGTAAGTTTATGGTTATTTAAAGAGTTTTATCTTAGTTTGAAAAGTGAATGATATTTTTTTTTGCAGTTTTACAGATAAATATTAAATTTGTGATGCTAGCCTATGCACACATTCAACGTTTCATTGCATTGTATCGTAATGTGAGTTATCAGCTTGAAGATTTCCATCAAAGACGTGCATTAACCAATAAAGAAAACTTTAACAATGCACATGGAAAGCTTTAGAATGTCACTCACTGAGCATACTTTTGGTGTCTTGAAAGCACGATTCCCCATATTGAAGAGGATGACACCATTCTCGTTGGTTACAAAAAGAAACATTACCCTTGCATGTTTCATGCTTTATTACTTTATAAGAAGAGAGGGACTATGTGATGAATATTTTGCACAATATGATGAACAAAATGTCTCAGTTTGAAATAACAATGTGGCCGTTGATGATGATGCAGATGAGATTCCAAAACATGGTACTGCAACGGATCGTGAATATATGACCTAGTTACACGATGAAATTGATGAGCAGTTGATGCAAAATATGGAATGAGAATTATTAAAGTTTGGTGGCATGAATTTTATTCCAAACTATTATTGTAAGACTAATTTGGTTGTATGAATTTTATTTCAATGTTTTAAGACTAAAATTATTAAATTTTCGGTATTGAAAAACTATTTTTGGTTTATAAAATAAGTTTTTTTTTTTTTTTTTTTTTTTTTTTTTTTTTTTTTAATTTTTAAATATCAGCAACAGCCTGTAGATGTTAAAAAACAAACACATTTTTTATTACAGTCTGCAGCCGTTTGGTCAACCTCTTCTGCTACAGAAGGTTGAAGAGGTTGTCCATAGAGTTCGGAAATTTTTGCTTCAATAAAACAAGCAACACCTAGGAGTATGTTTTTGTTCCATTTATTTTTTGAGATCAACCGTGATTATTGTTTCGATTTTTTGTTCTCTTTATTATTTGATATTCCGTATTCGGGTTTTGTGGACATCATGTATATATAGCCGCAATGGTGGGGTTTGAGGAGTCATGCATTGGATCGATGTTCTCTTCACATGCTTCATGAAGTAAGAGCATGTTTTTGTAATAGCCGTAGTATTTGCATCTTAAATGAATTTATATTTGTTATAACATCCCTAATAATATGATAGGAGGGAGGTAATAGCCGAAGTATTTGCATATTAAGTTCAACTTTGGTGATCGCCGAATCAAACATCAAATAATGCATTGACAAGATTTTTTTGTATGTGACCGTAATGTGTAAGTGAAGATGCACCTTTTTTTTGTCTTTTGAAATTGGTATTGTAGTCGAATTATTTTATACATCTTGTTGTTGAGGAAGAATCTGCCAAGCTTATCCCATAGATCTTTAGCGATACAATTGTCACTTTATATTATTTATGATAAGTTGGGATCATAGGTGGAATAAAACTGCCATTTTACATGAGAATCAATTAACTCTCAATCTTCATCATCATCACCGAAGGGTTGGGACTTGTCAGTTATATGATCAACAACCTTAGCACCTTGACCTATGACATGAAATATAGTTCGCAACAAATTGTACTTTAACCTATCGACAATGAGCTTGAAACTGAATTGTGAGTAAACATTAGTAACAACACATACAAGTTGATGGACAACTAGAAGGGGAGTATATGATTGTGGTAGAGTGGTCATAGTCACAAAAAAAGAGAAAATAAGTAAAATAAAAATTGAAACTCAAGTCAAATTGCTTACTGCATGTAGAGAGATCGTAATTGAGGACAAAGAGTTCGGATAGAATCATCTTCAGAAAAAAGCAATCGAGAGAGCAGTCGGTAGTAGTAGGAAGCAATTGGAAAGGGCTACATAAATAAACAATGACCTTTCAACAACATTAACAACACTACAAAAAAAATATTCAATGGTTGCCTGCCAATCTAATCATGGTGGCAGTCTTGACTAGAAAGTAAATGTCAGAATAAGGGGTGATGGATAAGAAAGAGGCAACATGCGACATTTGATGACGTGAAGAAAAGAAAGTGATGGCAGGAATGGTAGGAATTGAGGACGAAGAGTTCGGATAGGGCTGTTGAGAAAAAAACATATGTAAGTTTTGTATAACTGTAAAAGTACCCGTTAATGAACCTAATTTACACAAAAGATGTAACACCGGTATTTTCAATAATAATGGATTTACGTTTATTTTACGAATTACGAAGTTAGTTATCTATTATTATCCATTATATATCGAGTTATATTCCATACTCCAATATTATATTAATTCGAAATTTATTAACATATATTTCATAGCTTACAATTTATATTATATTAAGTGATCATACATTTAATCAAAGATATATATATATATATATATATATTATATATATATATATATATATATTATATATATATATATAATATATATATATATATATATATAATCGTGTTGTGGATATATAACTTGATTGGACAAAGTTTTGTAAATTAGACGTAAATATACATATATTGAATTAGTTATCAGTTGTTGAATTTAAATAGGCCGTAGAGTCATATTCGATAATGATAATATATTATTTTTATATATTTAGCCAATTCGAAATTTATTGATATATAATTCATAAATTATAGTTTCTATTATTTTGACTACATATTTGTAAACAAATGACTTAAAGTTTATATATTATAAACGTTTATTTGAGTTACTCGAGAATTTATTTGTTTGAGTTTTATATATATATATATATATATATATATATATATATATATATATATATATATATATATATATCAAATATATTTAAACTAGAATTATATATATATGTATAAGAAGATATAAATAAATAAAAATAAAAACATGTGTATGGCTTATTGGTTTAAAAGGGTTATGTTACTTTAATTAAACATATATGTATATCCATATGCGTAGATATATACATGGTTATATATAGATTGTATTAAATATAATTTATGAAGGTTTTAAGAAATAAGAAATATGCATATTTGCATATAGATAATAGATATATACAGAGTACGCTGCAGCGTATACGTACATGTAAATTGGATAATATAAGGTGGATTGCATGTTAAGGAACAATCAAACAATAGTCACTATATTAAAGCCCATGTGGATAGTTTAGGATAAGTGGCATAAACGTGTCAATCAGGTGAAGAACACCATTTAATTGTTTGTACTATTTCTTTACGTCATCATAAATTTTGATGTAGTATATATAAAACTCTTATGAAGAACCAAATTATGATATCTTTCTACATATTAGTAAGAGGGAAATATAAGAAGTTTTCAATAAAACGTAATTCCACAAGAGATTGATACGTGTTGGTCAAATTGTCTGCAAAATTACATACTTGGCGGTTTCAAGACTGTTCAGGTGAGTTAGCTCACTATACTATCTATTACAATATATATTCATGTATCTTCGGATAGAGAGCCAGTAGAGTAAAAATATAGTCTTTATGTGCTTTATGTTATTATACATGAGTTATTGGGTAGAGCCGAAAGTATAATCTCTATGTGCTTATTGTTACTGTACTTGAACTAGTAGAATAGTGTTGAAAGTATAATCTCTATGTGTTTAAATGTTATTATATTTAAGTTATTACGGTTAAGTTAAGGGTTGATGGCGGAACGACGACATGTCAGGAGCCTATAGACCCGTGTGTTGACGATGAAATGACAACTATGACGTAAGTCTAGATACACATATTATTGATGGATCGACGAAAGGTCGTGAGCCATTGTTTGTATGCATGATATGTATTTTGATATAT